CCTAAACCCTAAACCCTAAACCCTAAACCCTAAACCCTAAACCCTAAACCCTAAACCCTAAACCCTAAACCCTAAACCCTAAACCCTAAACCCTAAACCCTAAACCCTAAATTCCCACCCAGTCCTGCTTAGGCCGTACCCACCCTTCTCTAGGGTGCCTGGACCCAGAAATCACCCGACAGCGATTAACACCATCGCTTGGACTTCCTGTGCAAGCCTAAAGAGTTGTGTTGAGCGTGAGCTGCACCTCCAGTGCCGGTGCAGTACCCCGCCTGGGGTACCCCGCCCCCCTTCTCCGATTCTCAAGTATTATCAAGAAACCCTAAACCTGGCGACCTGTTCCCACGGTTTTCTGGCACGTCGCCCCTGGCCCCCCCTCCGGAGCCCCCTGGTGCCGGGCCCCTGGCGGAGCGTATTCAGGGACCAGAGGGGCCGCAAGGCAGGTCAGCCTGGGCGATTGCTCAAAAACCCACTACCAAACCCACGAACCTGATTTTTGCCTCCTGGGCTGCCCTGCCCCCCTACCCCCCCCCCTGGCCCCCCCCTCCCTGGCCCCCCCCTCCCTGGCCCCCCCACCCCCCCCCCCCCGCTCCGTCCCCCCCTGGCTCGGGCACCCCCCCCCTCCCCCTCCCCCCCCCCTCCCCCCTCCCCGCTCCCCCCGCCCCCCCCCCTCCCCCACTCCACTCCCCCCTCCCCCCCATCATCCCCCCTCCCCCCCCCTGCCCCCCCTCCCGCCACTTGAAAATCTGCTTGCCTTGCACATGGTTTTTCACGGGGGTGAAATGCCTTTGAGCAAATTTGGGATCTGAGATACTTCCGACAAGCGCTCCGAGGACAGGCTTGTCACATGGCTCCAAGATTTCCTGAAGTGTCATGTAGGCATCGTCCACGGTCACTTCATGGTAGTCGATGCCCTCAATGCTGAAAAAGCCCGGCATGAGGTTCAGCAGAGCCTGTATGACTTTGGCGTTGCCCTTGTTTGTGAGCTTGGCCAAGGCCCGGTACACTGCGGTACCGCCGCTCATGCCCAGCAGGCGGTCTATCAAGTCACTGTCCCCAACCTTGCCCAGCTCAACCAGACCATCCACGGCAGGCATGTGCTGCCGCTCCTCCCCCTCCCCCCCCTCCCCCCCCTCCCACCCCCCCCGGAGGTAAGGGCCTTCTGCCCCCGGTCTGTTTTCTGGGTCTACTCGACAAGGGGATCTACTTGGCCGAAGAAGCCACAAAGATCGATCAATATCTGATCCAGGACCCTGGATGGAACAATAGACTTGACAAAGGGTTTGAAGGGACAACCCAGACATATTCGGCAAGGGGATGTACTGGGCCGAAGACACCGCGATCTTCGATCAATATCTGACCCAGGACCCTGAATGGAGAGGCAACAACAAACCGACCTCCACAAGAAGCTCTATGAACGGGGAGGGAAAGTGCGCCGCTCACGTCTACTGTGCCTTGGGCTGCCGCATTGCTCTGGGTCTGGGAGATCCATTTCCCCCTGCCCCTGGCGTCCCCTCTGGCCCTCCGGCCGTCCTGGCCTGGCCCCGGAGCGGTCCCGGAGGGAAGGGCCTTCTGCCCCTGTCTGTTTTCTGGGTCTGGTTTTGACAACCCTGACCCGTTCAAAGGATGAGGGTGGAAGTCCTGCCCAACCGTTCAAAGGATGGGGGTGGGAAGTGGGAATTTAGGGCGTTAGCCCGAAACCCTAAAAGGAGAAAAGTTGGGTGGATGCCTGCGTAAGCAGGGGGTGGGAAAAATAAAACAACCCAACCTTTCTGGTTGTGGTGGCTCCAACTTCAATATACGCCGCCGCGACATATGCCGCCCCCTCACACCCCCTGGGTGTGTTGGGGCGCCATCTCCGCATGACATCTACTGCCGCGGCGCGGCGAGAAGCCCTAAACCCTAAACCCTAAACCCTAAACCCTAAACCCTAAACCCTAAACCCTAAACCCTAAACCCTAAACCCTAAACCCTAAACCCTAAACCCTAAACCCTAAACCCTAAACCCTAAACCCTAAACCCTAAACCCTAAAAATCCCTAAACCCTAAAAATCCCTAAACCCTAAAAATCCCTGAACCCTAAAAATCCCTAAACCCTAAACCGTTTGGGCATTAGGGTTTTGAGGGTTGTTTGCGTTTAGGGATTAGGGTTTTGAGGGTTGTTACCGTTTAGGGATTAGGGTTTCGAGGGTTGTTACGATTTAGGGATTAGGGTTTTGGGTTTAGGGGATTTAGGGTTAATTAAAAAAATAAGCGCTGCGCGCGCCAAAACTGCATTCGCTGCGCTGCCCCTTCGGGGGCCCACGGCGCTGCTCATGCTTTTGTCTTGCACGCAGCGCTTACTTTTTGATGAAGCATACATGTGCATGAATTGGTTTCACGCACACGCGCCGCATCTCATCCAAGGGACATGTCAAGGAGTTTCTCCCTGGAAGATCCGCAACCAGCACATCAGCGACCAAACCCACCTTTCTTATTCATTTCGTTTCAGTCTGGATCCTTGAAACAACGTGCGTCTCTATTGGATTCTCACGAAGCCATTGAGGTGTAGAGCTGCGCGTTGCCAGAAGACCGAAAGGAAACAGCACGCCGAAACTCCATACCCAAACCCCGAACGAAACCCATGTCTTGCGCGCTGGATGGGTCGAAAACTTCCGCAACGAACTTCCAACACTCTCAAGAGTGAAGAGTGCACCTCACGGTGACCCGCTTGCCCAAGTAGTTCGGGAAAACGCTCGGAGGTGTGGAGCTCGAAGGTATGTGGGTGGCTGAAGGGATTGTTTCACTTGCACGATTCTAGTTTGTTTCACTTTCGAATTTCTCTATAGATTTAGGAATCCCTTCGTTTTTGCTTGTTTTCTCTTCTTTTCTGGCGTCTTCCCTTCATTGGGGGCGGCGGTGGGCGCGTGGCTCGTCTCACTTGGATTTCGCCTACGTTTTCGCTTGCTTTGGTTCTGCGGTCCTCTTTGTTTCACTTGAGAAGGTTTTTACCCTGGCGCTTGAAGCGACAAGGTTTCCTTCTCTTCTCACTCGGACTCTTTTTCGACCTGAAGGAATTGGCCCTGAACCCTAAGCCTCTCTTTAACAATACCCTTAGCGGGCAATTTCTTTCTAACCTTAAGCTTTGGCTGCGTCGCCCTAACCAAAAGGCATCATCGCAGGGACCGCCTGGTCAAAAGCCAAAATCGCTTAACTAGAAATGACAGGACCCAACGCTCTTGCTAAATGAGCGAGATCCGAAAACCCTGCGCGAACCGCTTGCGGGCATCACCAGTGCCCTTACTTGAAGGTTGAACGGGTAGTTGCGAGGAGGGCCACGAGTGCCCCAGCCTGGCAACAGAGGACTGCCAAAAAGGGAAGGCTGGCTCGTTTTTTGGCAAAAAACCCTAAACCCTAAACCCCAAACCCTAAACCCTAAACCCTAAACTCAAAAGCATAAGCCTGTGTGCCAGCTTATGCCTTCTCACGTACAGGAGCGTATGACACCCGTACGGGAAGTGAACAACCGACTTACTAGTCTTACCTAGAGGTAAATGGTAACTATGGAACATAATTACAGCCATTTACTGTGTAAGTGCATTGTCTGTATACAAACATTCTTTAATATTTCTATTAGACAATACTGTCAGTACTATTACAGTAATAATTTGAACCCTACAGGCAGCCTCCTAACGTCGCTCCCACAAATGGACCCTCGAGTGCTCGTGGCCAGCCAAAGGCCTGGAGCCAAAAATTACTCGGGAACAGCGCGTTTTTCTTTGTCTGGCCTTGTTAAATCGTGCTTGGGGCCAAAAATTACTCCAAAACAGCGCGTTTCTTTGTGTGTGGCCTCTCTGAATAAGCTCTTTCGAAAAGAGGCTGCAAGCTCTTTCGAAGGTCCCAGGGAAGCTGGGGGGTACCCCCAGGATTCGGGAAAAATGGCTCGATTCCCAAGTCGTTTTAAATAGAATTTATATAGCAGAAATGACCCCGATTTGTTGCTTTTCGTGTGGGGTAGCCCAGGAGAGGGTAAACCCCCTAAAGCCCCCAAAGCGACTTAGGAAAATGGACCCTCGAGTGCTCGTGGCCAGTTTACTCCAAAACAGCGCGTTTCTTTGTGTGTGACCTCTGTGAATAAGCTCTTTCGAAGGTCTGAAGAAGCTGCAAGCTCTTTCGAAGGTCCCACGGAGGCTCCGTGGGGATACCCCAGGATTCGGGAAAAATGGCTCGATTCCCAATTCGTTTTAAATAGAATTTATATCAGAAATGACCCCCTGCATTTTCTAGATTTGTTGCCTTCGGTAAGCCCCCTGAAGCCCCCAAAGCGACTTAGGAAATGGAGCCAAAAATTACTCGGGAACAGCGCGTTTTCCTTTGTCTGGCCTTGCGAAATCGTGCTTGAGGCCAAAAATTACTCCAAAACAGCGCGTTTCTCTGTGTCCCTGAAGCCCCCAAAGCGACTTAGGAAAAAGGACCCTCGAGTGCTCGTGGCCAGCCAAAGGCCTGGAGCCAAAAATTACTCGGGAACAGCGCGTTTTCCTTTGTCTGGCCTTGCTAAATCGTGCTTGGGGCCAAAAATTACTCCAAAACAGCGCGTGTCTCTGTGTGTGTGGCATCTTTGAATAAGCTCTTTCGAAGGTCTGAAGAGGCTGCAAGCTCTTTCGAAGGTCCCAGGGAGGCTCCGTGGGGGGTACACCAGGCTTCGGGAAAAATGGCTCGATTCCCAATTCGTTTTAAATCTTGCTAGGAGTACCCCAGGAGGGGGTAAGTAAGACCTCTGAGCCGTCCAGGGAACTTCGAAAATTGCCGGAACGTAAGATGCCCGCACGGGAAGTGAACAGCCGACTTTCTAGTCTTGCCTAGAGGTAAATGGTAATTATGGAACATAATTACAGCCATTTACAGTGTAAGTGCACAAGAGTTGCAAGAGCTCCCCGTGCGCCCCATGCGCCAGCTGGGTTCTCAGGACACGAGCTCGTGCCACTTCTGGGTTGCGCGCCGGCGATGCCACGGGTTGAATCCTCCATCGTCTGTGGTGAGGTCTCGCTGCCACGGATGGGGCACGCTGCTGTCTGATGTCCTGCAGATAATTGGGCTCTTAGCACAAGAGTTGCAAGAGCTCCCCACGCGCCTTTTCTGGGCTGTGCACTGGCGATACCACCACACGACTGCTGTGAGGTCTCGTTGATACTGGCCCCTGTTTGATATCCACCAGATCGGCCTGGGTTCCAGAGACACGAGTGCAACGTGGCAACAGAGCTCGCGCCGCTTCTGGGCTGCGCACCGGCAACACTGGCGGTTGCCACCTCGCTCTCGCTGACGGTAACAAGAGGCATGCGATTTTCACCAGAACGGCCTTGGCTACGCAACACAGAGTCAGCACGTGCAACCAAACGTCTCCACACATACCTTCCAGGCTACAACGCATATCTGGGCAACACGCCAGTTGGTTCGTTGGAGAACCACTTGCTGAATCCTGGCAGAATGTCAACAAAAAGATTAGCAGCATCATGAGGCCCCCCGGATCGAAACAGGCCTCTTGACTTGACTCGCACATCCTCCTGCGGCCTTGGCGGCTGGAAGAAGCCACCGAAGCCATCCAAGCCACCCCAGGTCATAGCTAAACGCGGCGTCACAACTCCGTGGCCCAGGCTTCTTGCTCCAAGATGCAAGGGTCATCTCCTGCTGCGCTTCTCGAGCCTGTCAATGTCGAACACACTGGACCCATCACACTCACATGCAACGCGTGCCACATCCGCCATGAAGAAATCTTAGGCTCCTCAAGAGAATCCCCAGCAACTGAGCTGTGCCATGGGCGGCTTGAACTCTGATCCTCATTCCCGACCCCCAAGCCGGTAGCGGCAACAAAACGCTCGTCAAGCCTTGCTGCGTGCAGGAGCATACAAGAGCAAGGCTAAGGCGCCTTCTGCTTCTCGAGGAGATGCAACTGGCAACACGCGCGACGCAAAAAAACCATACAACAAGCTCGCGACATAGTGCTGGGATAGTGGAAAGTGGAAAGGCTTGCGAAGGGGCTTAGTCCATTCCTCTGATCCGCTGAACAAAAATGTACCTCCCCAAACATGAACCCTCTATATGCACCGACTTATGGAGCCTGCAATGTTGTGGATTCCCGTCACAAGGGCCCTCCACGCCACGTCTCGCAGTCTCGCGCTCCAACGACTCAAGGCAACTGCAGGCCCAAGCCAATCCACTCAGGCTTGTGCCCGTTCACCCAACAAAGGTGATAGGGTTTGGGCTTGGGTCTTAGGGTTTGGGGCTTACTTCAGGGCTTGATGCTGCAGTCTGGCTCCGTCCTGAACCCTCAACACTGGAACCACTCGCTGCTTTGCCGGCGCTCGCCGCGCCGAGGCGGGGCGCGTCAGCGCTCATACTAATTGAGCTAATGATTCTCGTTCATCCCTTTTCGCCGACTGTCAAAGACTTCATGCACATTACAGCAAATGCACATGATTGAGATCTCTTCCCTATGCCTTGCACACCATCTCCGCCCATGCCGCCACAGGGCTAAAGCCTCAGCAGGGTCAGGTTGCGCCATGTAGGGCCTGATATGGGTACAAACCTCCGACGAGCTCGTCCGTTCAGGCTTGGGTCTGCAGAAAAAGCAGCTTCAGGACTAGCTTGGTGTTCGAGCGTAACACAACTCGAAATCATCCAAAACGCAGCTGGTTTGGCCTCGGAACAAGATTCAAACCAACCTTTCTGTTTGAGCAAAGCAAATCTGGCAAATGGCAACCAATGCACTTTTGGAAGCCCGGAAAATGCGTCTGGGATCGGGCAGTTTTGGGATGTAGTGCGCTACCCTGGAACTATGCGACTACACGATGAGACACACGTTCCATGAGAATGCGGCAGCTTGAGCTGGCAGCAGCTGCGCAGCTGCACCATCTATTTTCAGGAGCACGGACTCGGTAGGAGGGCCTGGGCCTTCAGATGGGCATGCGGGCTTCCGCGGAGCTTCCGCGGAGCTTCCGCGGCACTTCTGCCGAGTACGCGTCAAGCTTCACGGATAGAAGGCCTCGAAGCCTGGTTTTGGGACGCTCAAGCCTGAAAATCCGGCTTGTTTGCTTTTGGGTTGACAGTTTACATGGGTTTAGGGTTTTTAAAATCTTTGTGTAGGAAGTTTGGGGTCTCTATAGAAGCCTTCTTCTGAACTGGGTCTATCGCTTTCGTACGAAAGGCTCTAACTTCAAACTTCCCAGAAAACACCACGAAAATGTTGTATAATCCACTCTGAACCACACATCCGAGATCCACATAGAACAACGCGCCCGCCTTTTAACCATAATTGTTTCTATCGTCGCTTCCGCGGAAGCTTCCGCGGAGATGTGCTTCCGCAACCCTTCCGCGTGCTTCCGCCGCCACAGTCGCGTGCACTTTCGCGCCCCGGTTCCCGGAGTTATTTCCACACATAAGTATCTCTCAAGAGCCGTAAACAAAAAAAACGCTGCTCTAGTGGAGATGCAAAAGGTGCAGGGACCGAGGGGCTGTACTCATCAACCCTCCAAACTCTGAACCAGCGGCGATCGAATTCAGCAGCATCATCTGCCAACAGCGAAGTCGGCAGGAGTTCCTCCTTTCACAGGCAAAAGGAAACGTGACCCCAAAATATTCTTGGTTGCAAGGCTTATGATGCCGTAACAGGCATTACCTTATGCAATTCCCCTTCCCCTGTGCGCATCCAAATGTCCACAACTCAATTTCTGACGGTCCTCCTGAGTTGGAAAGTACATAGCTGCACCCTCGGCGGTGCCAGGCTTGGTGGGGGTTGGGGGTTGGGCGGCTGAAGGGCTCCTGATGCGCCGTGTGCTCCCGGACACTAGGGGACCCATTCTAGGCCAAAAACCCAAAATGAAATCGGGTTTCGGGGCTGTTGGGGACGGATTAGTGCTGCCATGAGGCTAGGAAAACAGACTTGCTTGCTTGGATGCCAATAAACAAGATTGTGTACTTGGCGGCGCTGACCCCCTGTCAAGAATTTGTAACCCCCAGTAAGATCTTCCCATGCATTCCCTACATATTTCTTGGGTCCCTAGCGCCCCCTTGTTTTGCAAGACTTCCAGCCCGAGACCCTAAGCCGTAAGCCAAACCCTAACCCCCACCCCACCCCACCCTGCCCCCCCACCCCCGCCCCCCCCCGCCGCCACCCCCACCCACCCCCCACACCCCCCACCAAACGCCCCCCCAACACACCAACACACACACACACACACACACACACATCCCCACAACCCATCTTACAGAAGCTCAGGCCGAGGCGGGTCGCGTAGCGTTAAAATTACATGGCACCTGTGGCTCGCAGCCTGAGTGTCTAGGGCTCCCACTTCACAATCTTTAGCCAGGACCAGGAGGCTTGAGACAAAATGGCTGACACGATCCCGGGAATGTATGGCCTTATCGCAATGACACTGCCTTCTGTTTTTTTTACCTATTTATATATGCTATCACCATGGCCACGGACATCGTCTGGCAAGCGCATTAGAGACCGATGCAAAGGAATGGCATGTGTTACGTGCTAAGTGTTTAGACATCCTGCAGCCACACATGCAAGTCTGCCTTTCTGTCTTCTGGGCGAGTGCTCAGTCACGAAATCACACAGCTCTACTTCTGTGGCGGGCTCCTGTGCATTCCTTGCTGTACAAAAAGAACGAAGGCCAACTACTGCAAGCCTTTTGCATCAAATTTGAACGTGCATCGAATGTACCTCGAGGCGTTGCATTGCATCCAGCCTTGGTCTGCACCACGAACGCCGGTTTCATGGGAACGAACAACAGTAGTGCAACAATACTCAAACAGTACGGCTGTGCAACGCGAAACTGCTGTAAATGACCAAAGCATACCCCGGGAAGGAAGTCTGCTGCTCTCTTTGCTTGGAAGCCATGTACGACTTCGTGCTGTGGGGCACCGAATCTTTCTGACACCCAAGGAACCTCGACGCTGGCCTTTACTTCGAAAGGAAAGCCATACGATGCCAACAGGCCCTCTGCCGGGCCCGCAACAAACATCAACAAAGCAGACCTTCTCCTAAAGCTGATAGTATCTGTGACTCCTCGGCCTGCGCGATCGGACAAAGTGATGGAACAGCAAGTAATAACATCTGAGTGCCACGACACTCCGGCGTTGCCCTCATGTGCCCTCATCAATGATGAGGGCCAAACCTCATGCATCTCATGCAAGGTCTCATGTATCTGCGGCTGACAATCATTTTTCAATGCGCTCAGGGGAGCAAGTGGTGGCAACACTTCAGGATCTGGCACGTGACCAACCACGGCCGTCTTTGAAATGCCTGTAGAGCCTGAGAACCGAAATGCACCGTCACAGTCAAGCCAACATGGCAAAGGCCAACAAGCAGGTCGGTCAGTGACACCACCCTTATCGAGGCCGACACTCGTTTTGGGGCAAGCTGCCTGGATAAAACAGGGGATTGATCTATCTGCCACTGTAGCATGGCAGCGTTGCAGCAGGCCTGACCCTTCCGCTCCGCATTATGATGCTTGTTTTGCATGCCAACCGTACTCAGTGCTGTAGACATAGGCATATTGCAATGAACAGTCATAGGCGTCGCTTGCCAACCCGGCATTGTGATGCACGAACGCCCTGGATCCTCTGTGGTCTTACGACTGTATTACGCATCATGGCAAAAAAAGAGGGCAGCTTAGTGCGGAAGCCTGGGAGTTTGACGAAAAGTCTGTTGGCTGCAGCCACGCTGTCACGTTTGCTAGCAGAGAGCCTGCTCGCAGTGGTCAGCCAATGTCGTTTGAGGCGGCTGGTGGGCACGGTTGCCACACTCATCAGGGTGGCCCCATGCTTGTGGTACAAAAGGAGGGGGAAGTTTACGCTCCGGGGGCTGTCCGGATGGATCCACTGCTACACGCTTGCCTGCTAGCTTTAACCAGGGGACGGTGTTGCTTCTGAACACGTCCACAACAGCAAGCAAAAATGGCGCTACTGGACGGACTGAAAGGGTGGGCACGGGTGACAGGTGCACGACGCTACGCTTCCAGAGGCTGCAGGGTTTCCTGGTGGGAATGGTCCTCCCAAAAGTCCCCGAAAACATGGCGTGGATGTGTCGCTTCAGCAGCCGTGCCTCGGTTGGAAACGCCAGCCGCATGTCCTACACAGGCATCTCATGCTCATTCGGGTTCTCAAAAGCTGCTTTGCGAAAGTAAGCCTAAGCCTGAAGCATTGCTTCCTACATTGCTTCATTGGCTTCTTCGAGGCGATTCTTCTCTCCACCTCTGTGGAGAATGCAGCTGTCCTTCTTTCCACGGTGGAAAGGCGAGAACTCCGAGTCATCCTTACAAAGATTTCGGAACAAACTGCACAGCAATTCGTCAATATGCGGCAATTCACGGCGTGAAGAAATCGACCAACCCTGGGTCAACCCAAACAGCGCTGGCACTCCTCAGGGCATCGTCGAGGGCCTCCTGTTGTACGGGACTTGAAAACATACGAAATCACACGAACACCTCTTGCTGGAGTTGGGCTTGTCACTCCCACAAAGAACCACAAGAAGGAGCATCAATTGACACGCCTGCTCCGCGCGAAGTGCCTGCCTGCGATTGGCATTGAAATTTGATACTGTACGTACAGTAGTACATAGTGATATTAAAGGCCAAACGTTCTGTGAGGCTGCGGCTTTCAATGAGCTACACAGGACTCATGAGATTTCCACGGCTGCTCAGTGCTGTTAGAAGTATTTAGAAGTCCAATGAAGTCCATGCAGCTGAACGGCATACCTATGTCGACTCCGTTGAAACCTCTGCCTTCAAGCTTGCTGCTACCGTGAGCAACGATTCGATGCAAGCCCTGGTGGCGCTCACTTTCACCTGGATTGCAAGAATCTGCCCTGTGCTGTGACAATGCGACTCTGCAAGGAATATTCGGGTCCCAAGTCCCAAGTCCCAAGTCCCATGTTCGGGAACCCGTGAGTCATGCCTGCGCTGGTAAGCTCTGGGGCGCCGCGACCCCCTGTCACAAGCTTCTCGTTGTCTCTGGTTCCCGGGACATGCTGGGGCAATAGGAGGGGCGCAAGAAGCTGCAGACAGATTCCAATGAGCTAGTGTAGCAACTTGTCTTTGATGTCCTTTCGCTGTGCGCGTGAACTGCAGTAGCACTGGTCAGCCCATGATACTTACACCAACAAGCAGGTGGGACTTTGATGTCATGTGCGCATTGCGTGCACACATTGACTGGATCACCCTCAGGGGCCCGCAGACACTTTGTTCCAGGTGACTTGCTCCTTCCAAGGCAGCATCCAGAGGTGTCAGCGGGTCTTGTTCACAGACATAAATTGGGGTCTACTGTTCGTGGGACACGATTGCATTTGGAGTCAGAAGATGACCAAACAGATGTTCATTTTCTTTTGTTCGACAGGCTCCTGTGCAGTAGCCGAGTAGCCTAAAGCCTTTCGCATCCCATCAAGGCCTGGAAGGTTGGGTACCTACATGCCTCCAAAACTTCAAGACTCTGCAAACACACGGCTCCTTCGACCGCTCCCGATCAGACATGGCGGGGCGTCTGAGCGAACATCTTGTGAAAGAAGCAACATCAAGCAACATGACTCAGCCGATGCACACGGCGACTTCAACGGTGGAACAGAACTGGAACAGAATTAGCATCCTGCCAAGTGTGTGCCTCTGGCTGGCAGACCTCGACCGGTTATACGTCCGACTTTGTTCACTCCCCCCTTCCGCCCCCCGGCCACCCACCCCACCACCTTCTCATGAGTGCCGAAGCTGTCACGACCATCACGACTGACTCATTTTTGTGGCTGGGGGGTGCTGTCTGTGACAAGCCACGACAAGGAGGGGGTGTCTACAATGCTCTTCCCTTTGCTGGTGCCGCTGGAGCGGAAGCATCAGTGGTCAAAGGCCCGCTTCATTTACGCCTGGATATGCCTGGTGTCCATCATGCTTGCAATGGAGCGGGACGGCACATTCTTTCGCTGCCGAAGATGCACGCGAGCCAGCCCGTGGCTCCAGCAAAGAAGGTGCGCCTCGGCGTTGGAGTAGAAGCGCGCTCAACCGCTGCATGCTCGAAGGCATCCCGGAGCTGCTTTACCTTAAAAGGAACAAGTGGACACAAGCGGAGCTGCGACTTGGCCAAAACGGCATCCTTGCAAGACCACTTGTTGAGGTTTCATGCTGCCGGCGACACCACACCAGCCGGAGGGACCTCCTGCGCAATTTCTGCCTCGTCCACAAGAAGGGACGAATGCTGAATGCTGAAACTTGGCTGAAACTGCAGCTTTCTGAAGAGGTGTCTTAGACCGCTTCCTGACGCTGTGGCTCTGGAGTCTCCAGCTCCTTGGCTTCAGCTTTCTGACAGAACGCCTTTTGATTTTGTACTAACATGATGATGCGTTTGCCGAGCCAGAAGGTGTGCCAAAAGTCACTTGACCATGTCGGATTCCGTTCAAGCACAAAATGATCGTAATGCAACATGCAGTCGTGTCACCTGAACCCTGCGGAGAAGCCGGTTCCTCTCCTCGCTGAGCTCAGTCTTGTGCCCGACTTCCACCTCGCAAACATGGACTTTGACGTCCTGGTTCGATGAGGAATCATCTACGTATCGACCGAGCAAAAAACATAGCAAAATGCAACAAAACATAGCAAAACATAACAAAACAGGCCTCCAATTTGGTGCTCAGGCTCTGCACTTCTTCCGTCCTGAACCTTACCTCGGCCTGCAAACAGCATGTGGGTCCAGGAGCCGTGAAGTGTGCGCAACAAAACACGGACTTGTTTCCCAACCTGAAACCATTATTTCATCTGAAGAGCCTTCTTTGGGCCCAACTTGAACCTAACTTGACACCATGATTTCACCGGAGGGCCTTCTTGGGCCCAACTCGAACCATGATTTCACCGGAGGGGCCTTCTAGGGTCCAACTTGAAATCGTGATTTCACCGGAGGGGCCTTCCTGGGTCCAACTTGAAACCGTGGTTTCACCGGAGGGGCCTTTTCGGGCTCAGCTCTCTGTGCTGGACCAAGGGGACCTCAGCCAAACCCGCGAAAGCCGATCCAGTTGCTTAGAAACCAGCAGAACTCCCTCTGGAGAATTTCACCATTCGAAGACCATCTGCATCCAACTTATCAATCCAGATCTTTGTCAGTTGACCTGCTGCGAACTGCAAATGCGCGAAGTCCGGGTCCTGGTCCGGTTCTCTCCCTTTTGGCTCCTCTTACCCGTTCCGTTCCGGTTTGGCTGCGGGGTCTCATTTCGCGCCCCCCCCCCCCCCTCCCCCACCTCGAGAATACCCAACACACGCTCCGAGGCTCTCGGGGCCTTACTCGAAGAAGGCCGTTCAGGGCTTACGGTTGAGGATGCTGTTCAGGGTTCTAGCCTATAGGGACCCGCACAAGGATGAGCAAACAAAAACCCAAACAACCCACAAATCTGCCAAGAGGGGTCACGTTCTCATTGATTGTATAGACCGTGTCAGTGTCAGTGTAAACATGATTCACCTTCTGCTGGAATATTTTGAAGAGGCATGCTTATCATCACAAGAGCAAGCAGCGAGCTGACAAACAGTTGGCTCAGGAAATCTTGACAGTGAACTATGTCCCGATGCTGTCAACTTGCTGTAAGAACTGCCCACAAGTGCCCGCCTGAAGCTTTTCTTTCTCTGATGCGGAAGCCTGCCAGACGCTGCCAGCCCGTGCACTGTGAAACGTTCGGGGATGGCATCGGAAAGTCCAGGTTCTGTCTGTCCCTACGCAGCCCAGGATGGCAGCTATACAACACATCCTTGGCATGACCCAAAGCTTATCACGAGCACTAAACGGACTTGGACCTAGTGCACCCGACTTGGCTCCTGCAACAACTTTTGCAGGCTGCTGTTGGCTTCGCTCAGCTCGTTCTTGTGGTCTCTTGTGGCCTGCATGACGCAGTCTATCTCTGCTTCCGTAGCAAACTCTTGAGAGGGCTCTTCAAGGAGTTTCAAAAAATGAGGCTCCCAGTTCGCAACAGCACGTGAGCCTTGAGTTCCGCCAAGTGCTCACGACTTTTGGCCTGGCGCAGACAGGTACCGAGGGCATCGTGACTCACGGGTAACGTTGCACTAAGAATGCCTACGTCACGATTACTGAAACGTCACCCACTGCGTTGCTGTAGTGCCACAACCGCTGCCATCAAGAGTGAAGGTGTCTAAGGCTTAGGGTTGAGGATGACAGGTTCAGTGTAAGTAGGGTGTAGGGCTGCGAGAAATTCGGGTTGAGTTCACATCCCCGAGTCCTCCAAAGTGACGAAGCTTTCTTCCAGCTGTGAGTATCTTCTCCGATCGCAGTCGCTCTGCCTGGCACAGTCGAAACTGCACTCTTGCAGACAGCCTCTTTTGTAGGTTACGCGAGATCAGACACTCGGCGGTGCCTGCGGAGCTTGTCCTCCAAACTGCGGTTCTCCTGCTTCAGATGCTCGACCTCCAAATGCAGAGCGAGACATGATGAACAGAAACACTACATATGCATGCCCCGCTTCACGGACAAAACGGCGGACACATCATGCGTTGTACTCGTATGTAGTAAGGCACTAAGATATACTAATATATATATATATATAATAATAATAGTAATAATAATAATAATGTTTCGCAATACTGTAGAAGAGTCCAGCAGGTGCTGCGCCTGTAGAATCAGGGCCTGTCGATCTTCCACCTTCGCAATTCTCTGTTTGGCACTCCTAATGTACTAGGAGCTTGCGAAGCATCGTTTCAATTCGGATCCACTCTATATTGGATGCGTTGTGATCAAAACACAGCAAAGCCTCTCCCGTTCTCTCAGTCGCCGGCCAGTCTATTGTGATGCTCCTGTATCTGGGATTGTTGGTCCCCATAGCCATCGCGACTCCCTGGCAGGCCAACCACGCCAACGGCGCAATTTGATACAATCTGAGCGTTACTTAGCAAATTATTGACCCATTGAGTGAGCACGATGGATTACAGAGTTCTGCTGCAGGTTCTTTCACAGTTGGCCCAGCAGGGCATCGTTGGATGACAACCCGGCTGTCCAAGTTGGACAGTATTGAGTGGCTTGACCAGTGAGGTGTACATGGTCAACAGCCAGTAGAGATAGCATTTTACGCGTTGAGTTCTGTTCATCGAACGCGGTGCAAGTAGCTGACCTTTTCTGCTGGTGGAGCAATATATTGAAACCTGGTCGCTAGGATATCTGTTGAATTCCTAGATCAATGGAGTCGATGGGTTGTTGAGCCCCATCTACGAGTTCAAAAACATGCTCGTCTGCAGTCCCGATTTGATCCCATGCTGTCCAAGGATGTCAAGAGAGTCATGGCTCAACCGCGGTGCCGTCACACAACTTCGCACGTCCGACGCTGTCCCTGCCGCAGACATGACAGCCTTGTGCAGAAGCTGAGCTGGTGCGCTGTGGTGAAGCCACCTGCTGCATGACTGTAGTTCCCATAGACTCAGTAGGCTTGCCGCAGCTACGATGACAAGCTGACAATCACAGAAAGCCAAGCTGCATAGCTGCGACGGACAGGGCTGGAGATACCCGATTCCGCAGTCCTACAAGCTTTCAAGTTCCACAGGTGCTGAGGTGTGCTGAGTTTGCCATGTGGCAAAGGCATCTCGGCCTTCCAAACCCCGAACCTCTCGGCGATTCAACTGCTTAGTATTTCTTAGTATTTCACAGTGCAAGCGGGTCCTGCTTTGAGCATAATCATCGTTCTTGGGCCTCCCTGTATCCTGACACACGGAAGCCAGAGGACAGGCTAAACGCAGTCAAACCCTCACTAGCCAAGGCCGCCACAGAACCCGGCCTGAGATCGAAGGTGGGATTCAGAAACGTCCAGGCTCATCAGCAGTGCGGTGGGTACTTAGCCCAAAGCGAGTGGCGCCGACTATCCCTGGGCTCATAGTAGCCTCCCACCAGTGTGGTTGAGAAATGTTGAGAAAGCAAAGGTGCATTTATGGGAGGCGAGGTCTTGGTGACAACTTGCAAACTTCGAATTTGCGAAGCTGCATCCCTGTGAGCGTTGTGAGGAACTGACCTTCGAGTGGCTGAACGCAAATTCCTGGAAACCATCCGGTGGTTTCTTCGCCCTCCTGTCATCAAGTGTCGCTACGTACTGCATGCCGCAATATCAAAAGCTAAGTGGGGGTTTCTGCCAATCAAGGTCGCACCATGAAACCCCGCAAGGCGTTTTACTTTCATATTTGCGTCATAAGGGCTTGGCCCAATACCCCCCTTGTCGCCGGGGGGGCGGCCCCCACCTTGTTACAAACCCTTGTCGCGCCCCTTGTCCTGCCAGCTATGTTTCAAACCTTTGTCGCGTGGCATTCTAGAAAACGCCCCTTGTCGCAAGCCTTGTCGCGCAAGGCTTGTCGCAAGAACCGGTTTTTGTTACAAACCCTTTGTCGCGTCGTGCCCGCCCGGGGCCCTGTTACAAGCCTAGCGTTTTGGGCAAGAAAACAAACAAGAGAAACATTGGAATTGCAACTACATGCTGTCATCATGTGCTACAGCAAAGAAGCTGAATGCCTGAACACCTACAGTCACTCGAGCACGCTAGCGAGTTTGCCGTCAGAAATGTTTATTCCAGACTCGATATGTTTCTCTTTGCATTAGTCCACTACCATGTGACCTATAATGAACGGATGTAAACGTACCGGTCCGAAAAGGTTTTTCGCCTATCAGGGATGCCACCACGCTTTCGGTGGGACGTTAACTTGGAGGCACGTAATATTACAAATGCCGCACGTGGCTGATGTCAGTCATACATGGACATGTTTTGTCGGAATTGGCGTCATGTCTGTTGTGGCATGCCACACGGGATGAATCAGGTTGACCTGACGCAAGGGACGGTGAAGAAACTCGGAACCCACAAACTGAACGATTTGTATGATGATGATGATGATGATGATGATGATGCACACATCCCTGTTGCCCTCGAAATCCGTCAAGTGTGCAGGTGGCAACTTGTGGACATTTCCAACTTCGCATGCTCAACAGCAAATTTAGTTTTCGTTTGCTCATTGGTGGGGACCTCCAACTGCCACGCAGGATCGATGCGGAATTCGAGGGTACACTGATCTCGTGAAGGTCGACACAAGAAAAAGGTGCCATTGCCCAGCTAGGCTGGGCCGAGGGAGTCGTCCGATTGCCTAGCGACTGCCTGCAAAATGCTGTCGCTAGCTTGTACATGGGGCATGTCTGAAACTGTCAGTCAGTCTACATCGCTTTTTTTCATGCAGGCTAAAGGGGAAGCCTTGGATGCCCATGCAAGACAAAGATTTTTATTAGGTTCCATCACGGCCCCAAGCCGCGCAAGTTAAGTTGCCAAGGCTGTGTATAGATTGGGTTGAATTGGGTCATCTCGTGTCCTTACCACTCTGTGGGTTGCGCATCTGTGCTATCTAAAAAATGATGAATCTGCAGGAGCTCGGTTATCGTAGTAGCGATGGACCCGGCCCAAGTGAGAGAAGCGATCACTCTGCCCGACTGCTTTGATCTCTTCTTGTCTTTTGAAAAGGTTGGACGTACACAAACACGCACACACACACAGAGACAGACAGACAGACAGACAGACAGACAGACAGACAGACAGACAGACACAGGCAGGCAGGCAGGCAGGCACGCACTCACCCACCCACACACACACACACACACTGACTGATGCCCGCGCGCACACAGAAAGACCCAAGAAACAACCAACCAACCAACCAACCAACCAACCAACCAGCACAACGACAAAAAACAAATGGTCCTTGTGCCCTCCCCACCAGCCAGTCTCGTCCTGCACAACAAACAATGAGACAGAATGCATTAACATGGTGCCAGCTGCCCAGGAAGGCTAGCAAGGGTCCACAATCAGAAATGGACGTCAACACCTGATCTCGTCAAGGCATAAGAGAAGAGGCCTTCTCCATGACAATGACAATATCATTGACCTTATCTTGCATTAAACGGATTGTCAGGATTGTCAAAACCAAGATCAAGATCGAACAGGGAAAGAACATTGCAGAACGATCTGCCAAAATCGGCCAAATGAACCTTGAGTGTCAGTTGGTCTCCATCGGTCGCATCGTGCTTCTTGACCACGACAGTTCGAATCAACCTCGTTGCATCAACAGCGGGAAAGCCGTCTCCTGGGTGATGGCGGCTTGCTCTGTGAAGCTGTGGCTGGGACCCCTGCTCACACTGCGTTTCAGACCTTACTGTTTGGCCCCGCAAATCAAGATGTTTCATGAGCATCTCTCGCTTAGACGTCGCCACATGCTGCCAGGCAGTACGGTCGTTTGCGCAAACGACTTGAATGAGGATGGCACCAATACTGATCTGGATCAACCATGGTCAACGCTCGTGGCCAGCTTTATGACATGAAAGCGGACTGAAGTGAATAATTGCACATGAACTATGGTCATCACATGTATGACACCCGAATATGAAAGAGGCAGCCTTGCCATTCAGTTAGAAAGAGTCTGCCGGGCACTGGGTTACCTTTTGAGACATGCTTTGCACATCTTGCTCCACACAAACCATGGTAAACCTTCGATGAACTGCAACGACGGGATTGGATAAGCTCCTGCTGAACCAATGAATGAGACAATGCTTTGCCCGACTCGCAACACGATTGACAGTGCTGAACGATTCCATGCAGTGGGTGAGCGCCCTTTTCAGTCCGAGTCCGAATCAATGCCCAGAGTGGAGGCAAGCCGAAGGGCTACTTCCTGGCAAGGGCACTCAATACCATCATGCATGAGTCGTGCATGAGAAAGCCGGTGACCAGGACCGTGGTTGTACTATGTTGATAGACCGAATGGCCAGACACCAGTGAAAAGCCAGTGTGGAGCCAACATGCCGGATGCACGCAGGCACGCTCTTTGCGAGCATCATGGTCCTCCATGCTTCGAACCTCTCTCACCTCGCCCGCCAATTTCTCGAACTCCTGGCCGGAGTCTTGCAGTAGTATGAATTTTCGTCAAGCAAGCACAGCCAACCACTGATTCGCCTCGGCTTCCTGCCGAGAAGCGTCTGGAACAAACCCGGATCGGGCCTCCTTCCCCCCAACCCCCCATGCAAAATTTTCTGACGCCCCCCCCGCCCTGTGGGACCCCCCCCAATCGCTTGGAGGAGCTGCAAACCAATTCCGTGCACTGTCCCGCCTGTCGCAGGGGCCCCACCCCCCCCCCCCCCCAACCCCAACCCCCCACCCCCATCGCCCCCCCCCCCCTCCCACCCACCCCCCCCCCCCCCACCCCACCCCCCCCCCACCCCCCTCTTTCCTCCTTTCCTGTCCTGGGGCCGGCCCGGCTGCCGAGGCGGCGCGCGCAAGCGTTTACAATTACTCGTAAGTGCTGGTGACTACTGACTTGGTGTCAACCAGTGCCCGATGTCATGTGTGCCTCCATGTCATCAAACTCGTCCTCTTTTGGGCGACAAGCGGTATCGGCGACGGCTTCGGTGACCTGTCGGATGCTTGATGCATGTCAGCCAGATGCAAGTTTCTTTACTCAACACTGGCCGGCCTGCCTGATTGGTGCAACGAAGAGCTCAACACATTTGCCATTCCTAGCTCAAAGCCCTGCTTGCCTGGGTCGCGTCCTCCTTGTCAGCATTGCCACCATCCACTGAATCTGTTGAGTCTTCGACCGTGTCAATCTGACACGGTCGAGATAGTGGTGTGAGCCGGGCTGAGGAGGCCTCATGCGCTCAGCATACACACGTGTTGCTTCAGCCGACTGCAGCAGCAATTTAAGGCTCTGGGTGACAAAGAGACTGAAAGAAAGACAGACTCAGAAAGTGACCTTCTCCAAGCTGAAGGAGGAACTCAGGGGCAGGCCTTTGGCTCAAGCCCCGGCCATGAAGCATGACACTCCAGGGCCTGGACAGGACATGGGAAGTGGCACTGCGAGGCACTGCTATTCTGGCCGACGCCTGTTTACACCTCACCAGAACAAGAGGCCAAGCATCTGCGGATATCGGGGGGCGTGAAGTGCTGTCGACCCCCATGACGGAACGAGCGGATAGAGTAGGATGACTGAAGAAGTACTGTTGTTTCCTTTTCCTCACTTCCCGGTCATGGTCCTAAGAAATTATACGGGCCAGTACAAAGACCTACTGTATAATTCGGCCGGTCAGTGCTGTGCGTTATAATCATTAATATATATATATATAGATACCGCGGTCACTGCGTTCCTTGCATATTGTTATAATAACTCCGCGCGCTAACAGAGCAGGCTTTTAAGACCGTGTTGGCACGTCACGAACAACCTTACTGTGTAGCCCACTCGATGATGCTGCACATGCCAACAGTTCACGCACAGATGATCTGAATCAGCCGGTATCGGCAGTTCCGGAGGGTGATGTGAGTAAGGGGGCTAGTACTCAACACCTCGTCTCCTCCTGTGGAGCACGCTGCTGGAGAGTAAACGAGCACCCCATTGAGCGGATGATTGTGCGGTGCCTAAACATCATGAACACAAGAGGTTGTGGGTCTGGCGTGGCCTTCGGTCGAAGACCTTGAAGGAAAAGTGCTGCCATCCATTGCCATCCGTGCTATATCAGGTCGGGTTTAAATTAACCGAAGCCCTTCATGCTTGCGAACGACACCTCGAATAGCCGGATCACAGTCCCATCGCTCTCCTCCGACAATAGGCCCAGCGGCCTGCAGGCAAGTATCAACTTTCCGAAGGCTCACGTTAGTGTACTTCGTAGCAGAGGTCATGTTGCTTCATCACCAAAAGCATATCTCGTCACCCATGGCCCCGGCCTGCCCATGCGAGCTCCTCTCTCGAAACAGAATCCGTGCATGCAGACGAACTCATTGAAGGGCGCAAACGATTTGTTGCTTCGGCTTTTCTTCGTATTGCTTCATTATGTTGTACACGTGCACAGGTCACAAGTCGGTAACACATGGAGAAGTGGAAGAACATGGAGCTGCAAACTGCCCGGGTCTTGCCAGAGGTTATAGGTGCGATGAATCCATGTGCCACGCAGGCTACAGGCTCAGTCAAGCATGCAGGCATATGCATCCTGATGAAAATATCTTTCAACGTCTTTCAACTCGAAGGAAGCAATGATGGGGGCTGCCGACACCAGGACGGTGCGGCCTTGGTGTGGACCAACGACCCAATGAATGGCTGCAGAGGTCGGCAGCACAAAGTCGCGAGTGAAATTGCCGCGATGAAGTGGATAAATGTACAATGATGCTTCTGAGACGCTTGAAAGGGTTTGACAGTGCTGTTTCAATGAATGCCGTGAAGACGGATAAGTCGGATAGGCAACGCTAAGCCTCACTTTTCGGTGAACCCTACCATCACGAGCACAAAGTAAGCGTGTGAACGCTGAAACAGCGGTCGAGAAGCTTGAGCCGTCTTGGAAACGTTTTTATACGTTTGTGAGTTACGTTCATCACTCCCATGCCACTACTTTCGCTCCTTCAACTCGATGCCGCAGAGCTTGAAGATCATCCAAGCGCAGCGGACAACGCCTTGTGGCGAAATGCATCAGACATGCCCCCAAGGACACGGGAAATCACAGGAATCAGGAGTTCCCGAAGATCCCGAAGGAGCACGCGAAGGCAAGCTAGGGCATATTAAATTGTGCATAGCTGAGCCAAGAAGTGTCAAGGCCCTGGGCAACAGCTCGTAGCCATTCTCCACACACCAGGCCAATGCCTGTCCCATGTTTGGTGAACAAAAGGCTGACGTCACAAGTGCAAAGTCTAGGCTAGGCGCCTCTCGTCAGCGAGATCAGTCCATAACACGTTTCAATGTATTCCAGACCATTCCGGCAACCATGGCAAAGTGCATTTTTGCCTCGTCTTGATCCAAGGCCGGCTCCACAGAGCCTCACAGCAACCTAACATTATGGATATGGCTTGCATTCGTAATCCACCATTCACACCTGTCACCCCTTAAACTCCCCCAGCCACAACCTTACAAAATATGTGGTTTTATCCAACATCAGGTTCTCCAGCTGTGGCCGTGTAACATCTTGGAACCATGAGCCAGACATCCGCCTTCACAAAGCCCGTTATTGAGGTCATGTGATTCATGTGTACGCTCTCTGCCCTTATACCCTGCTAAAGCAATGAAAGGTGTGATGGGTGTTGCGGTTGGACTTTTCCCTGTGTCTTTTCATGCATTTAATAAGGGGTGAATAATGAGAAATGCATGAATGACACATTCATAATTCCGTGAAGTGACCATCCTTGGTTGGTTGCCTGTTGACAAACTGTTTGCGCAGCCCTGCTTTCAGGCGTGATGCTTGGGAGTCTAACATCCCAGAGTAAGCGTTCGTGACTGTTGGAGTCAAGAAGGGCTCGCGCTGACACTTTGATGCAGGCTTTTGGTCCGGGCAGCCAGTGTCGTGAGCGGTGTTGTCGACTGCAAGACACAGCTGAACACGGTCGGGTCCTGGCAAAGCACAGGAGCGGCTCATGGCATGCAGGCGTGCAGGCGGCATGCATGGCAGCGTGGAGTGCGACCAAGCAAGTTTGCAAAGGTATGCGCGCGCTAATCAACTACAGTAGATAATCGCTGCATCTGCGATGCTCGAAATCATGGTTCCCTAAGGGCCAAGTCATAAAATATCAGAGGCTCGACTCAAGGACGTTGCTCTTCTGTGGCCCCGGCATTGTTGAGAGAAGCAAGAAACCACCGAGAAACCAAATCCCGATATGCCCCCGTGCCTTCTTCAGCTTCTTCCTCCGGGGCAGTAGCGCCTGCTGCACAACGCACTGAGTAGCTCCCCGAATTTAGGTGCAGCCGTTCTCAACACTTTCTCCGCTTGCTCTCAGGCAAGTCAGGGCAAGTCAGGGCCGTCTGAAGTGCCTTTGATGGCGTCCTTGATGGCATGGAAGGGCTGGGGATGATGCGCATCCCAGACGAGAATCACTGCCTCAGCATACGCAGAGAAGCTGCCGAAGTTTGGGATTTTTAATCGGCATGCCATCTCCTACTTGTGGCTTCAGGACTCCAGGAAGCACTTTGCTACAAAGAGGGCTTCTTGGCGTGCTTGCCATTGCTTCGTTCAGAAACAATGCAGGCAGTCAGTGAGCCAGCCTCTGCAGCTGCCATGGCTTCCTGCAAGAGGGCGTGGCTTCGAAAGTGGAAGTGCTGCAAAGTGCTACAAGTAATAAATTGGCAGTTCTAAGCGGCTTTCAGGCGGCAACCCAGCCCAGTCCTCCAGCTCCGTCACCTCCGGAACCGCCAGCACACGGTACTGCAGCTGCCTTGCGTTCTTTGGGTGAGCTAGGTCGATGCTGCTAACATTTACCGGAGCGAAAACGGATGGCAAGGCTCCTGGCACTGAGTAGTACTTGTTCTCAACAGTGCCAACAGCAACATCGGTGACATCCTGCAGTCCGACAAAATGGAGTCAAACGGAGTCAAGTAACTCAAGTGGCTTTGAAGCCCCTTGTGCCCCATCCAAGTTTCACACAGGCTGATGCATAAGTGCGCCTCCCGCAAACTCAGCGCTGACAGCAGCTGGCGTGCTAGAGCTCCATCTCCGACGAGGAGTACAGTCGGTAAATCCTGCCCACCAAGAGCGTCTGAACTCTCAAGACATTTCATCCTAGAGTCTGTACTTAGCTGGGAATCAGCAAGGAGCACTCCGCCGGCGAAATTATTGAACCTCAGGTATGTCCTCAAGTAGGAATATCGGAGTATCGTCTTCGCATCGCCCAAGCCTAACTGGCCTCTCCACCTAAACCACCTGGCATTTTAAGCCTTGTGAACGTTTGCCCATCGAAGCAAGCGCTTGTCATCAGCATGCTTTTCAGAAACACCTAGGCCGATTGGCCCAAGAAGACCGACGGGTCTCTTTGGGCTCCAACGTTGCAATGTGTGGCAATATGTGGCAAACCGGTTGAAAAGCCTCTTGCTAGATGGCGTAGCGGATGTGCTGATCTCACAGTTGCTGCAAGACATGTCGGCAGTTGGTGTTGCGTGCTGCATGGTCTTGTAAAGCTCTTCTTCCTTATCGTTCGTGAGGCCCTATATCGACTAACCAACCCCTGAACTTTGCAGAGGATGGTAGTCCTGCCGAAGATCGGGAGCTCGCGACGTTTCCGGGTCTTTGCGGTCCACCTGGTTTCACAGCTTCAGTTGTCTCTGCGCGTCCTCCAGTCAAGCTCCTAATTGAACCCCAAAGGCTTGGAGTCCAAGTCTTCAGGTCGGCACTTCGAGCCATGGCCGAATCTCAGAAAGCAACCGCTTGCTTTTGCTGGACCTGGGAAGAAAGCCCAAGTGAGAGCCAAAGCTTTTGCTTTTGCTTTTAGCAGTTTTCCGGGAGGATGAAGGTGTGGGGGCGGGGAGGGGGGGGAGGGGGAGAGGTCTCAGCCCGGATCCTGAAGCCCAAGATCGTCCCTGCTGAGGCTGCAGCTTGTGCTTTCTTGGGCCGTTAGTAACGGGTATTGACGGGTCGCATGGTTTGGAACCCAGGATTCGGGCTTTGGCGCTTCTTGTCCAGCTGCATTCGGGCGGCACATGACAAAATGCCGAGCACCACACGCAAAGTGCAGAGCACGTGGCCCTTTGCTGGGCCCCTGACATCAAAAGGTCGGCCATCTCAGCGACATCCTCGGCTTTGCACTGGCTCAAAGCATTCAAAGCTACTTTACCTACATTGTATTACATCGTTACACAGAGGTGGTTGTGGGAAACCTGACTGCAGACCTCGGATCGGCCAGTCTGAAGAAGATTGCATCGGATACATGGGTGGATTGGCCGAGGACCGGGCCCGGCGTCGTTCCAGCCAGAGCAGGAGCTCCTTACGCACGCGAGCCTGCCGGCAAGTCCTCAGACTCCACAAGGTCAGCAGTCACTGCTTGGCATGATTGCGGCGAGGGCCCTGCGCAAGAAGCCGTGCCATTTCCTCGGAATCCTCAGCTCAAAAGCTCGCCGGAGTGAAGGCAGCGTTACAGACAATCGGCGGATCAGTCAAGTCTGTGGGTTTCCTGCGGTACGCAACGTTTACAATGCTTAGACACTTTGTGGCATGACAAGCTGCCTGGCTCGCGTTCCACTAGTTTTACAACAGCGAATTGTGTAGCAACTATGTGATGGCTTCCAATGACTACTGGAACAATGCACATGGACACCACTTTCACGAAATCAATCACAATGGATCAACATGGTGTTCCTTTACCGATGGTCCCGCATCTTGCAGGCACAATGGCCGTGTCTAGGCATCCCCGCCGTTCACTCTCCTTCCAACAAACGCATGAGTTGTTGTCCTATGAGGGCCTGTCCAGAATTTTGCGGGCCATGAAGTGGTGTACGTGTGTACGATATTCATTTATCTTACAATTCCTGCGTGTGCTCCAGTCAACACAAACAGCTCTTAAAAGTCCTATGTCACGGTGTCGCTCTCCAAGAGACTGCTGATAAATCGGGCCACAAGTATTTCTATTCCACAGCCAATGACAATCGCTAAACAACCAGCCATTGCGTATGCCGACCATCGCTCGAACAGAAGGTTGCGGACCCCGTAGTGTAAGTTGACTAGATCCAGTTGAACGATGGTCTCCTACCCGCTTCTTATCAGCCGGGTCGTGGGCAACACGTTCGCTACACGCATCCAAGGCCGATGCTGCTTGGCAGGCTGCTGCCAAATAGCCATTATCGCGGGCCATGATGACAGTGTCGTGGGCATGCCGAAAGCCGTACAAGGCACAATACCTATGACTGATGTGTAAAGCTGAGGCGCCACTTCACTTCAAGAGAAAGGTTTGGACCACGCCCATGGCACCAAAACATACAAAACAAGTCCTCTCCTGCTGCTTGACACATGTGCTACACAGCTGGACTCTGGAGTGTCTGTGGGCTTCTCTTTGCAAAGGCTGCGACGTTCGCCAACTGGAAGAACAATTGGCCACAGTCACGCACACACACACACATACACGTTGTCGCACGCCTTTTGGAAGCCACGGCGCGCTTTGCCCACACTACCCTGCTCTGGTGAGCTCACGAAGCCAAGCTCAAATTAAGCTTGAAATCTCCGCTCCCGTCCCACTTCTCAAACTCCGTGGCCATTGGGATTCTTGCAGGCATCAAGATTTTTGCACTCATAACCGTCCCCTGCACCTGGGGGCAAATCGATTGGCAAATCTCAGCAGCAAGGCCTTTTGCAGCTCGTATGCTGACACTTTGGTACGCAAGTGCAGCTCAGAAGCATTGGAAGCATGGCTGCCCCTTGCTGCAGCAGTATTTCTGGCCACAGTCACCGTTGTTGGCCTGGGGCACACAGGCTTCGAGCAGGCCGATTGGCTGACAACCCGCTGATAATCTAGGATGACCATGGATCCTTTTTACTTCTTGAGCCAGGCGCCGCTGCGCAGTCCTTGGCATCCCGACCTTGCAAGGTCGAAGTCCATACACTTGGCAGTACACTCCCTCTCTCACTCTCTGTCTCTTTTTCTCGAACAACCTCTCCACAGAACCGAGGCGCCGTTGCAGATCTGCAGGCCAGTGCACAGAGGAGCACCACCTCTCATCACGGAAAGGGCGATTCTCTGTGTAATTCAGATACAACCCTTTCCTGCAAAACGACGCCACCAGAATCTTGATTGGACCAAGATGCTTTCTTCGCCGTGCGTTCTGATGAGCTTTGGGTTGATAGGTTTGATGGAGCCTGGCGATTCCTGAGGCCATGTGGGCTCAACGGCCGTCCTTGCATCAGCCTCACAGCATCGGCATCTAAGGTCCGCTCAACCACGAGACGGACTTCGGTGACTTTGGCCTCCTTCGAAAAAAAACAGGCGCGGATCGGAAGTGGATGCTGGTTCTAATACGCTGGAGTAATACACCAAGCACTCACCAAACTAAGATAAGTGAAATGGCACTGCGCAGGTAGCAAGAGGCCAGCAGCGCATCAAGTACACAGGGTGCACAGGGCCTTTGCAGCTGCAATAATCGTCAATATGGCGAACACCGCCTGAAGAGAGCTTTGAATGTTCGGCACAGGTCTGCCACCGCTCTACCAGTTCCGTCTCCTTCTCGAACCACTAAATTTAGGGGATGGAAACCACAAGATCGTTCGTGCATGTTGGCTTTGAACTGTTGGTATCAAGAATGCCAGCGAGCCACGGTTCGACATTGCACCATCTCTGCGCCGCTTTCTTACAGTCTGCGCATAGGCACTTGCCACGATGAAGAATAGAAAAAAAGTTGCTCTTTGATGATGTTCTGCTTGCATAGCTCGAGAAAAGTCTCTCCTCAACAGATTGCTGGCAGTAGGTGCTACAGAGGTAGGCCGCTTTGGCAAGCAGCGTAATGTACAAGATGTGTTTTGCAGACAAGGCGTTTTGCTTGAGCATCAACGAGGTGCAACTCGGTGTCATGGATGCCTGACATTGCATGACCAAATTCAGACACAAGGCCGATCAATTGTTGCTGATGCCACTTTGTGAGAGTTGATGGGGCTCTGTGGCCCGGAGTTGGTGGGGCGTCATCTCGTACTTCATGAGCATGGTGCAGGCTCCGTTCTCAGACTTGAGGGTGCTGTGCAAAGAGTCACAGCGATTAGCGTATGACTCCATGTAGTAGGAGCTCAGTGTGGGCAGAATCATGAGCTGGTGAACTTGGGGCAGTTGTTGACAACAACAAGAGACACGCACGAGTTATTGGAGTGGGCACCATTCGAGCATCGGAGACGGCTCCATGAAGGCTTACACCCGGGGGTATTCGGCAAGATTTTGCCTTAGTACAGCGCATCGAGGTGCATCTTGTTTTCTCTGCGCTACAGCCTACAGTAGCTAAACTGCTGTTGTGATGAAAGCCTGGCCATACACAACCCGAGGCCTCCTTCAAAATCCTATTCTGGATATGTCGTAAGCAGATCACGCAGGCCATAGCACAACACGACCCACAAGTTTAGACCGAACGTGCATCAGTGCATCATGCTTTTGCTCATTGCCAAGACATCATGCCAAAGCTGCTCATATGGATGGTAGACTTTTTCTCGGCTTGGGGTTGGTCAGGCTCAGGGTCGGGCTCCTGTAGCCATGCCTGCGCCAACACTGCGCCGATGCGAGGCCTGCTGCGCAAAGCTAGAACCAGCTAGAAGCCTTCAAAGGTCTTCGGAGACCTCTTTGCAAGGCAAGACTGCTGCTATCTGATGACCCGCGCCCTCAGCTGTGAGTTGCTGCGCTATGCTGCGCTATGCTGCTAGATTCAAAAGGTCAAAAAACACTTGTTTGAGTGCATCACAACCTTCCATTGAGGAACGCTGCAAGGGCCTGTGGCCGACGGAGGCCTTCCAAACCCTTCGAGGATCGATTGAACATGATCCAAGGTCTTCCAATTGCCAATGCCTTCCCTGGTCTATTTGTTCGATGCAAGCACATTTGCGCCTGCTCTTGCAGTCCACGGTCATTAACGAACCTGGGGGTTCCCACGGCAGATGGTGCACAACATCGACACACATGAGAAGCGCACAGAGGCACACATCTAAAACGGACAGGAGAACATACAACAAGGATTGCAACGAAAGCAAAGACACCCTGCTCCCAACTCCGGTGCAGTGGGCACCAACAAAACGCTGACCAACAAAACCTGAGAGGCAACTTCAGAGGAGACTATAGTTAAATTTCATCAAAGGTATCTACTTATAAGTGGTATTCATATTGATCTCAAGGAGGGCTTGCAGCGAATGTGCTATTTCCCGCGCCATGGCTGACTCCACTTTTGGGTTCTTGGACGTCTTTTGGGTGTTGTGTCGGATGCTTTTCGCGTGAGTGGCATCAAGCACGGTAAGCATGGTAAGCACGGGCACCATCGGTGCAACGATGGCTGGCCCTTTTGTCAGAGTCGCAAGCGCCGCAGCACATTACATGGCCACATGAAAAAACTACGGTACTGTATGAGGAATGTCAACCCGATAACCCTGCAGACCTCCTTTCCGCTATTCATCCGGATTTGCCTTTGTCTGTAATGCGGGTGGTCCCTAGCTGCAGGCGGGATGCGCACGAGATTCTTTGCCTCGGCCGAGATGCTGCTCCAGTCCTGTGTCAACAATTGCCATCTGAGGCTCGTCTGTGCATCCGACGGGTTGTGCTAACTCAAACTCAGTCACACTCACACTCACGCCCTCACACGATGTCGGGCATCAGTAGGATCCAACACACATGCAGCGCGCAGGCAGTGGTATCAATCGTACCGTGTTGACCACTACTAACGATAGTCCTCAGCATCAAACTCGTAGCGGCCCTGTGCAGTGGCATGAGTCTTGACTAGGCGGCGGAATCAAGATGTGCATGGGCCCAACATGAACATCACCTCACACAGGTCCACTCTAGCCAGCAGGCTTGTATTGTGAAACACCCGCCTGCAGAATTTGGTCGTAGAGGCCCTCATCGTCAAAAGGAGGCGAGCCGCTCAGCAAGACATAAAGGAGAACCTTTGCATGTGCGAATTTGAATGTCAAGCAGCAAGGAAAGCTTGCTGTTTTGGACGACTGAGCGGCAGTATTTGTTCTTCGGCCTTCTTTGAAAAGTTTGAAAGCTCCGGGACGGCTGAGCTCACGGCCCCAAGGCTCCAAATGTCGACCTGTCCCGTTCTGCTGCAGGTCTCTGCACCCTATAGGGTTCCCGCCAAGCATGTGACTTCATGCCAAAGAGAGCAGTCGCATGCAGCCGCGCAACACCGCGCAGCCCACGGAAGCTAGCTCATTCAATTTCATTCAGACAAGAACTCGACTCGCAAGCCGCACCAAGCGACCCGCCTTTTTGCCGTAGCCCGGGGAGCTGTCAACTGCCCACCCTTGCCTGCCATTGTTGGCATCTTTGCACTTCTCTGCTTTGCAGCGATGTCAGGCTTGGCAGGTCGAGCAGACGTCGGCTCAGGCCTGATCACCTCGGGAGCAAAGTAGTGAGGAGTCCCGCAGAAAGTCCGCGAATCTGTGGATTTCCTTGCAGTCAGAGCATGCAGAGTGCGTCGACTGCGTAGATCTGGGTGACACCTTCTGCGGTCTCACTCGAAAGAATTAGGAGCCAAGGCTGATCCTGAAACTTCTGAAGCTAAGACGCATGTTGAGCAGCGCCAACCCGAGATCCGCCAATTTGGGCCTGCACACAGACCTTTGCCGACGCATGCGGCATCGTAGGGCATGGTAAACTGAAGTGTGCGAATGAACCGAGACCTGGCACATCAATTTTCAATCTCTAAGTGCGATATTTTCCGGTGTCCCATCATTCTGGCTTTAGACCGCACTGCTTCGTTCGTCGTGCAATGGGCGACCCGAGACACACACACACACACCCACACAGGCACGCACGCATGCACGCACGCACGAACGCACACACACGCACGCACACGCGCGCGCACGCAGTCACGCACGCACGCACGCACGCACGCACGCACGCACGCAGACATCACGCACGCACACACGCCCCACGCGCGCACCCACGCACCTCTAAGCCAAGGTGAGACTATTTCTTGAGTATTATCCTATTCACCCACAACTTCTTGGGCCCAACTTGAAACCATGATTTCGCATAGCTTGAAACCATGATTCGCCGGAGGCCTTCTTGGGCCCAACGTGAAACCATGATTTATCGTTTATCATATAAATGTGGACAACGCCACATTTACATGATTCACTATTTATAGAACTGTATAAAATAAACACTATGATGTAAATTAAGTTTTCTTTTGGTTTTCTTTCTAGGAAAAAGGGCAAAATGGCAAGTTGGGAATGGCGTTTTTCCCACTTGTTTTTCGGTTCTAATGTTCAATTTTTTGATCTAAAAATTTAGCAAATTTTCTCAAAATTTTGATGAAAAATGGCCAAAAAGGCCTCAAAAATGGGGTCGAAAAAAACCCCTCATTTTTGAGTGCAATGACACCGGAGGGGCCTTCTTGGACACAACTTGAAACCATGATTTCACGGGAGAGGACTTCTTGGGCCCAACTCGAAACCAAGATTTCACCGGCGGGGCCTTCTTGGACACAGCTTGAAAACATGATTCACCGGAGAGGTCTTCTTGGGAAGCCGAGCGTCTCGAAGATGTCAGCATCGATGAAGTTATGGGTCACCACGGTGCCACTACGGCCTTCAACGATGAACACTGATGAAGAATTTTCTCGCTGCTTACCCGGCAGCATCCAAAGCGTCAGTCCAACTCTAGCGCAAAGGGGGAAACGTGCCTAAACACAGGCTCTTGCTTTGTTAGACGTTGGGGCCCGGAAGTTTTTTAGACAAAGCTGCGTCGAGCGGCTCCGGGCCTCAAGAAATAGATCTGAGGTTTTTCGGATGCCCAGGGGACCGGACCTATTTAGGCCTACGGTCTTGGGGGTTTCGGGCTGGTCGGGCTGGTTGCATTCCGAGGTCGGGACCCACTAGGCTTAAGGCCTGGGGCTGTGCCCTTGACCATTGCTTTGGAGGCTTTGGGCGCCTGTGGCTACCTTAGGTCTTCATTGTTGTTGCTCTTCTGATATGCACTGATGAGCCAAGAACCCCATCTGTGCTTCAAATGAATTTGCCGCCCAACACCCTAAAGCCCACTACGGCATAGCTCAAACCCCTAAACCCCTAAACCCCTGGAGAGTGAACTCAGAACCTCAAGAGAGCACGGGGAGCACCGCGATCTTGTTCGCCCCTGTGAGTCCTGAGTTTGCCACAACTTCTGCATCTGCATTTTGCGTTGCGAGCCTGAAATACTTACTGTATTGCGTGTCATGATTGCTGGCACCGGCCCGTGCTCACATGCTAGGCTTCAGGGCAAACTGCCGACGCCACAGTGGCCTGGATGCTTGCAGCTTCTCGTTCAGGAAGCCCAAGCACTTCACCGGGAAGCCCTCACCCAGCATGCTGCTGCGCGCACGGCCCGGACAACCCCGCATGACCGTGTGTATCAACGGCTACGAAGAGACTCTAAGGATTATGAGCAAAAAGCTCGACGAAGAACCCCTGGAAGTCGTCCGAATGGGTGAGACATCTGTCTCTCTGTCTCTGTGTCTCTCTGTCTCTCTCTGTCTCTCTCTGTCTCTCTCTGCCTCTCTCTGCCTCTCTCTGCCTCTCTGCCTGTCTCTTTGTCTCTCTGTCTCTCTGTCTCTTTGTCTCATTGTCTCTCTGTCTGTCTCTCTCTCTCTCTCTCTCTCTCTCT